ACAATCCCTTGAATCATAGGTAGTAGGATCAGTAATTTTAAGATGAACAAATATACTTGGAACCGTCAATCTAATGATGCAGTGACATTTCAAATAGTTGTTAGAAGAGAAACTCAAATCAAAATTCCTTAACCAGCTCATGGAGACTTCTTCCAAAGGCATTTTAATAACCTACTGAGAATTGCCTTATTTCGTAGACCTATGATTTAAATTATAAATAAACCAACCAAATCAGCATATAGAAGAGCGAGCTAGAAACAAAAGAAGAAAACAAAAGAAGTAAAGTTTGTAAAGTTTGATTTAAGGAAAGCAGTATTGTATTTGCTTAAATCTTGGAAATAAAAAAGAAATCAATATTTTAAATGTTTAGAAGATTTAAATTTTAATTTAAAAGTAGATTTAAAATTTTAGATTTTAGTAGAGAATAGAAGGGAAGTAGTGTGAAATTTGGTGCTGATTATATACATAGTGAATAGTTTAGAATAATTATGGGAAGCATGATACCGGGAATGTCATTTGGAAAGCCTGAGCGGTAGGGAAAAGAATTTCCTGTTAAGAAGGATAATTTGAACAAAGGATTTGGCAGGTACATATAGAGAATAAGTTTTGTATTCAAGAGATAATAGTGAAAGGCAGAATTGAATATGTAGGTTAGGGTCATAGCTATAATTACAGTACATACATTACAGTACAGTTAAACCCTGTAAGGCTCATAATTAGCTAATTATTAAAAAGATATGGTAAACTATTACCCCAAAACACAAAGACGAATGACTCGTGAATATGAATGTTCAATCACATGTAACTCTGATAAATAACACTCTGATGATGTCTTGTTGTAAGCATTTCTCTCTCCTTAGAAATATCTTAGTACTGCAGCCCATTGCTCTGTCTAGATTCCAGGCTCACTATTATGATCAATAGATGTTTGGAGGAAGAAGCTGAATAATTGAATTACATCGCTACTCACCTAAGGTGAACAAGGAAATAGAAGCAGTTGAAATTGGTTAGAAACGATGCTTATTTAGTATTTTTATTAATTATAAATCAGTTTTGATCTCTGAAGGCATATATTATTGAAATCTGATATTTTAATATTTATTTCAATTATAAGCTCCACAGATAATATGAAAACTCTGGTACCACCATCACGAATACTTTACCTCTTACATGCTCATTATTTTTCCTTTTCTTCTTGCCTCATATTTACCCACAGCCAATATTCAGGAACTTTGATACTCTGATGGCCTTTGATGTTTGGAGACTACACTTAAACATAGTGGAAATATTTTGATCATTTCAGTAGGTTGTGAAATATTAATTTTGATATTTCATTCTTGCCCACTAGGAAAGCAGAATCAAAGTGTTTAAATAGTAAAAATATCTGAATATGAATTAATTATGTGGACAATTTAAGTATGGCAATAATTTACATTACTTATGATGAACTTTTAATATTATTAATGATTAAAGCAACTCACATTTAAAAAAAAATTAGTGTGTCCCTCTTTTAAAAAAATGAAATCTGAATCAGATATGTAATTTTTTAAGAAGTTAAGAATGAAGTTTTTCTCTCAACAAAGTTTGGAAATGTGGTCTCAAGTAGAGATGGGTGTGGAGCATAAGGGGGATACCTTCCAAGTACAGATAATGTTACAGCATTGTGGGGTATTTTTTCATAGTTAATTTGAAAGAAACCTTTCCCTTATGAATCTGGAGAAGAAAAGAGACATTCAGGATGTGAAGGCTATCTTCAGATATCTGAAGACAAATGCCTTCTAGGAGTAGCTTGTTACGTTTTGCACATAGCCCATTTGTATCAAATTTAGACAAGTGGATGGAGAAGCCAGAGTATAGATATCACACCTTTTTCAACATGAGGAAGGACTTGCTGCTTCAAATGGAATTGGGTGGCTCAAGAACAGAGTGAGTTTGTGATCACTGTCTCCTTGTGTGAAACTTGGAGATTTTTAGCAGGGATGCTCTAAGGGTTATCTATTGTGTGAGTTGAATAATTCTTTCCAGACTTGAGATTCAGTGCTTTTAATGGAATACCAGACTTATAACAGTGATGTTTATCTTGAAGATTTATTTTTATAATAGCTTCAGGAAGAAAAATTAGATTTATATTTATACTTGAGTAAATATTTCCCCAGAATTTATATAATACCTTAAGTATAACATATACAATATTTTTTAAAACAAAAATTAAGATTTTGGCTCTGTTCTAACAACCCTTCTCCATGTGGGCAGTGTAACGTCCCCTCCACTTTTGCTTCCAGTGGTCTGTGACTCTGGTTTCCTTTAATAGAGATGGTCAGTTTAAAAGAGAGGCTGATCTATAGACATATAAGATAATCCAGCTTCATGGAACACCTTGGAATCGAATCTCCTTTAATTTATGAGTAAAAGTCTACTTAACTTCCTGGTATTTTTATTTTCCTCAGTCTTACCACATGGAATTATTTTGTTCTTTGATCCAGATCTATTCTTTCTAGGTCCATAGACTTTGCTTTCTGGTTATAGTTCAAACATTTTTGTCTATTTCTTGCTTAAGCTGAGATTCTTTCATTTAATGCAGGCACTATTATATTTTTCAACTGATGGTGATTCCACTCTATATGCATTTTAAATCAATTATAATTCTCTGCCTACTCTAGCAATTGACCTTTCCTGAAATAATCTCTAATTCAGTAGAGATCATTTTTCCTATGTCTTTTTCCCTATCCTGCCCTAGTCTTTTTTTCCCCAGGAGCTTTATTCAGTATCCTAAACAGATGGTTGATTGTCCCCAAACTAAAAGCCTTACCCAGGTTTACAAAGCCCATGATCTGGCTGTTGCTTACCTTTCTGATCTCATTCCAGATTACTCTTCTCCCAGTCCACTATATACAGCTTCATTGACCATTGTGCTATTTCTTGATCAGACCAAGGTGGTTCCAGCCTGAGGCCTTTGCAGCAGGCTGCAATGCTCTTTACTCCTGATTTTTGTATGACTAGCAACTACCAATATTTTGAGATCTCAGTTTAAATTTTACTCCCATAGATATGTCTTCCATAAAAACCTAAACAGAGTAGCCTTTACATATTACCCTACTTAAACTTTCTATGGTTTACTCATATCTATATTGTATTAAAATTATTTATGTATTTGCATTATTCTCCATCTCCCACACAAGAATGGGTGATTCATTAAAGTAGGTATGTTATCTGTTTTGTTCACCAAAATCTCCAGCACCTAGAAAAGGACCTGGCATATAATGGGAACTCAAAGCATATTTGTTGAATGAATGAACAAGTAAATGCATGTTCCGTCACTCCGAATGCCCTTATATGTTAATTTGGCTGAGGGTGAAATCTCTCAACTTTATTATAACTGAAGCTTGCAAGATAAATAATAGCTTTATAATCTTTTCCTAATTTCCTTCCATAGAGCAGTAAAAAAGGGGTTAGCAAAAACATACCTGTATATATTCATGTAAAAATAATGAAAAATTAGTCACATTGTCATTTTGGATAACAAAGAGAATGATACTTTGGAAGTTAAAAGATCAGAAAAGATGCCACTGGAGGTAATTATTTAGAGATTTAAATTTTCACAGTTTCTTTGGTCTTAAAACTTGTTTCCTTCTTTGACACCTTTTCGTTCACTTGAACTATCAAAGTAGCACTCAGATTACCTCTTGCCTAGATGTTTTAGTACACACACTTTATAATGAGTTTAAATAAAAATGTTGTTTAAGGGTGATGCCTTAAAGTTATATTCTAAACTTTTTCGTTGTAGATGGATTGTTTGACAGATTTCTTAATATAATTTTTTTTCTATAAGAGCTGTATCATTTGTTGTGATTTGGAGGAGAACATGTTTTTCACTTTTAATTTGCGAATATTTTATATATCAAGAAATTGTAGTGCTACTTTATAAACTTACAGTGTTAGAAAGATGATCTGAAATTCTCTTGCTTTATTGAATTTCTTAGTTTCTCTCCTGACTATTTATTGAATGGTAGCCCTATAGCATTATTATCATGTTTTTAATATGCATGTTATAATGTTAAAAATAATTATGTAAAGCAAAATCTTCTTCCTTGTAAAGTCTTTTTCTTTCTGTTAATAGGAACATTTTCATTATCACTCCTATTTATTACGCTACTTGCAATCAGTGTGGAGAAATATGTATCTGTGCCAATTCACCCAAAAAACAAAATCCTGTACTTATATTGTTCTGTTTTTCATATCATGTAATCTATGACTGTTTTGTGAATATTAAAAAATAGTCATGTTTGTGCAATTTTATTTTTTCATTATTGTCTTGGTCTTCCATATTTATTCATTTATGTAATATGTACCATTTGTCAGTAAAATCACTGTGTATGTAAATGGCAAAAATGTATGTATATCCTTTTCACCCTAATGTCCATCACAGACCTTAATATAGCATCTTTCCAAAAAGGTTAAGTGACCTGAAACATATAAATAAATATAAAACAATCCATGTAAGTGTAACAGTACAGCAAACGAAACTAATAAAAAGAAAACCTCTCTGAAACTTTTTCACCCATTACTTTATCAAGCTTTTCGTGTGTAAATATTTAGTTCAATAACCAGTATTTTTATTGACACAGATATTAGTGCCCATAAATTATAACAGAATGCTGTGAATCTTTAACAAATATAAATAATCTTTATATTTTTTCAGGTAGCTTTCTCTGCTTTCAATAACTATATTTAATTTTCTAATCATTGTTAGGAATTAGGATGAGGTTTTTGGCTTACTTAAGATCGTGATTAACTAGGACAGAGTTACACAGTCAGTATCACACTAGCGACTAGGAGATATGATGTCCTCAGCTCCAGGGTTGTCTGTGGGGCCTGGGGTGGTGGAGTCCTGGGCCTATGGCCTGCAGCAGAGAGCAGCCTGGGAATAGCCCCTAGCAGGGCTCCTCTGAGGCCGGCCTGAGCTGAGCGGAGTCTGATGGTGCGCCCTGCGGTCCCCGCAGGTGGCAAGCACAGTGAGCGACATCCGGCCCTTGCTGCTCCACTGCGACATGCTGAGCGCAACCCAGGAGGCGCTCTACCTCCCAGACATCTCCTTCAGCAGCCAGCTGCGGAGCGCGCCACTGCTCATCGTGGACAAGGGCCCCGTGGAGCTGCCAGAGGAGTTCGTGGTCCAGGTGCCCAAGGAGCTCAGATCTCAGCCCAAGGTGCGGCCAGCGGTGGGGAAAGAGGGCTGCGGGTGGCTGGGCAGGGGCTCCTGGGAGGCTCAGCCTCAGGCATTGGCCCAAATATGTCTTCTCATATACTCAGACTCTGCATCCACTCATAGTGGCTGACGTTTGCACTCACTGGTATCCTGATCTGTTGTTGAACAATGCATGCTTGTTCTACATTAGAGCCTCATCACTATCTCAGAACGTTTGACTTTAAATTTCTGATTGGGTTTGAAATATCTTTGCAATATCACAGGAAGTTTACAATTACTCTTAGTGACAATGTCAATGGTTGTAAAATTTGAATGGCTGTAAAAGACACGTTTTAACATTTCTGATCATATGCTTGTTTGAAATAAAATTCACATCAGTGGAAACTACCAAGATTTTTGAGGCGATTATGGTGAAAACATCTTGGTTAGGAATTGTGTATAGTCATCTAAAGCATAAAACCTGATAGAAAAGTGATTTTTACACAAGTAACCTAATTTTCTTATGAAAATGTTGGAAAGTGCTTTATTTAGAATATTATCTCTGCAGCGGGCAAGTACAGTGAGTGACATCCAGCCCTTGAAGTTCCAGTGAGGAATATTATACAATATTTGCACAAAATTCAATACTGGTCTTTTCCTCAATACTTTGTATATATACTTTTTACCTTTATGTAATATTTAGGCAATATAATTTTTCTTTTTACTCACCAAACTCAATACAGATACTCTTATCCCTCTAATTTCCCTCAGGGAATATAATATGTATAATGTAATATAATGTAATATAATATAATATAACATCATAATATACAAGCATTATATAATATTTATATATTCATTAAGTATTTATATAATTATATAAATATTATATTTGTAATTTTCTTTGTGTCTGCAGCATGAAAAAGGCTGAGAAGCATTTGGCAGGTGGAACCATGAGTATCAAGCCTTGTTCCAAAACACACTCACCTCTCCTATAGCATAATTTAATAATTATACAGGAAATACTGGCAAAGGAACATGAAATGTCACTATATTAGCTGAGCTTATCTTCTAAGCCCCATTACAGAACTCCCTGGTAAAATAAGTTGGAATACTGTGTTTTAGTTCAGGGACTAAGGTTAATGCATCACCCTTTGATCAATTTGAGATTTAAGAGACCTGTGAAATTTAAACCTAACTCTTCAATTACTGCAGCCACATAAAAAGAGTAAGTGTGTGGTGACTTTCGCACTCACAGTGGCTCTCTCCACTCAGTCACATTGTTCAATCAGTGGCCTAGAATCTTTCAGTTCAGATTAGCATTTCTTCCCTAGTGGTGATGATTGGGGGGCAGTGGTGGTGGGTAAGTGCATATGTTTCTACAGAAGCATGTGGAATTAACTCCAGTGTGTTTGGAAAAATCAGGTAAAATGTATGGTAAACATTCTTTAAGAACTACATTTTTTTCTTTTCTGTTTTGCTTCGCATTACCATTTCAAACCTGAAATTCTCTAAATTGGGTTCAGTTACATTTTCACAAAATGTGCTTCAGCGGTCACAAAGTTTTCATAATATTGGCTTTTAATTGTAAAATAGTAATATGAAATTAATATTATTTAATTTACCCAATGCATATATGTTCATCAGTTTCTAGTACTAGTGAAGAAGAAATCTAGAAATGAATTTTAATTTTTGAGTAGGTGTTATAAATGTTTAAATGAGCAACTATAACATAAACACACACACACACACATAAACACCTGCTGGCAATTCTGTCTCGTGACAAAAATTTAGAATAGCAGTCAATTAGAATAGTTTTTCCTATAGTACTTTTACTAAGATGTTGGCTGAATTTTTACATTCCCCCACTTTTATAGCTTAATAAGATTTTTCTGTATTACGGGCTTTTACGTTTTGCCACGTATGTGGCAGATTACAGTGTAGTAATGGGATTAAGTTAGGTTTTCTATCAACTTACAAATAGGAAAATTGTGTACTATTCTGTTTTGGACAAAGACGAAAATGAGGGTACAAGGCAACCTCTACGTGATCTTGTAAATGAAGACTGATGTAAATGTCGTGTGATTTTTTTTTTTTTTTTTTTTTTTTTTTTT